CTTCTCACACCATTCTCAGAGATTAACAGGTTTTCAAGTAGTACAGCTGGATGGACTGAAATGGGACCTTTCCATAACCACTATCTCTCAAATCTTGATCATGAACTTCATTTAAAATGGTATCAGACAGGACTCATCTCCTGGGGCTTTCACATTTCCACTCTTCCTCACAGCACTTCACCTATGAGGAACTGTGCTTAATGGGATTTATTTTGCCACCGTAACTCTACCCAGGGCTTCGTGCTAGGTTTTCTAAGCACCCAATTATTAGATGGTAGAGAAGAAGACAGAACCACCTCAATGGAGCTGCTTAGCTGCCTAATTGCTTCAGGTATGAGGTTTCACACCTGTAGAGGCCAGAGTACCAAGTTAGTATACCTCACTGTACTGAGTTAGTACCAACCAGAGTACCAAGTTAGTATACCTCACAGGCCAGAGTACCAAGTTAGTATCAACCTCACTGACCCAGAGAGCTATATCTCTTTTAAAAATTTTCACTATACTATTAAATAATAGTCCTTGCCTTTAGGCATACTTCTACTTTGAAGATAAGGCTTTAAATTTAATTTGCTATTACCTTGTACATGCCTCTCTGTTCAGCCATACTGCCCCTCCCCCGCCACCCTGCACTTAAAATCACTTTTGCTTTGTCCCACCCCCCACACTCTGATACTTTACTCATTAGGATCCTTCTACTTAGAATACTTTGCTCTAACAACCGATCTTCCTATTCAAATGTCAATTCCTCAAGGCAACAGATGTCTTTTCTTCATAAGACTTCTCACAATCATAATTTCTTCTTGTGTTTATTTTATTCTTTCTGGACAAATCCTAAATTATACTAATTATTTAGGGCCCAGGCCAATGCCTCCTCTATGAAGTCTTCTGATAAGTCCCTCCCAGACTTAATAGTCAGGGCCCTTTCGTGGTATTCCATTAAGTATCTCCAATCATTTCACGCACATCTGTCTCCCTGATGGAGTGAAGTGTTCCTTGAGGACACTCATTTGCATATATGTTTGATATATAGCAAATATGACTTAATAGCCATTGGTTATCTATTTTTTGTACTAAGTACATTTAAAATAGAGATAATATAGGAAAAAATATGAGAACAATGAATTAAAAAAAGTGTATTTAGAAATAAAAAAAGTACCAGTCTCAAAATTAAAGGAATATGCACACTAATTTCTTAATTTTATAAGAGGTACTGGTCGTCAGGCACAAGAATAATAAATAACGACTGTATAATTTAAAAAATTTGTCATCTCAATAAATTTCATGGGGCTGGGGTTGTGGCTCAGTGGTAGAGCGCTCGCCTCGCATGTGCACGACCCTGGTTTGATCCTCAGCACCACATAAAAATAAATAAGTGAAATAAAAGTATTGTGTCAAACTACAACTAAAAAATAAATTTAAAAAATAATAAATTTCATAACCATTCTCATAGGTAAATAAGGCAAATAGATGTTCTGTTTTACAAATGAGGACACTAGTTTAAAGACTTATTTACCCAAACTCATACGGCTAGTAATCAAATGGGTATAGGATTCAAATCCCAATCTTAGGATTATAAATGCCAAATTCTTTTCACTGTTTCAGAGGTGATATATTATCTGGCAGAAACAATTTCATCCCTATAAAAAATAATCGTGATTGTCATGACAATATAAATTTTTGATAAACTCTTAAAAATGACTTTGAAAGATGAACCACAACAGGAGCCTGGGGGGCTGGAATTGTAGCTCACTGACAGAGTGTTTGCCTAGCATGTACAGGCACTCGGTTCAATCCTCAGCACCACATAAAAATAAATAATTAAAAGAAGGATATTGTATTTATCTATAACTCAAAATATTTTAAAAAACACAAACAGAAGCCTGGGACAGCTACTGAAATAGAGATCTATAAATCAGAGAAAATATTCCAGTGATGTTCAACAGAGATCAAGAATTTATCCTGTTTTTCTTGGAAAACAGGAGATAATAAGCTAGGATTACAGGCATGCCCCACTGACTGAGTCCAGCTAAGAGCTCTATGTATATCGTGAATATTGGTCCTATGTAAAAGCTATGCCCATGCTGGGTGCAATGGTACACATCTATAATCCCAGCTGAGCCAGAAGATTACAAGTTTGAGACTAACCTCTGCAATTCAGGGAGACCTTGTCTCAAAATAAAAAATAAAAGGGCTGGGGATAGCTCAGTGGTAAAACACTACAAGATTTAAACAAAACAAAACAGATTTTATATTATGACAGAATTGAATCTGGAGGTGCTTTACCACTGAGCTACATCACTAGTCCTTTTTGAGACAGGGTTTCACCAAGTTCCTTTAGGCCTTGCTAAGTTGCTGAGGCTGACCTTAAACTTGTGACCCTCCTCCCTCAGTCTCCCAATGCAGCCATTTTTTAATGCTCTTATGTACACCTACATTCTGTTTGTCTTACAGGTTCTAAGAATACCATTCTCATATTTTACCCCTGAATTTGTTGTTGTTATATACCAATCTGTTATAAGAGTTACATGGCTGGGCTGGGGCTCAGCGGTAGGGCACTTGCCTGGCATTTGTGAAGTACTAGGTTCGATTCTCAGCACCGCATATAAATAAATAAAATAAAGATCTATCAACAACTTAAAAAAAAGTTACATGGCAAAGTAAGTTTTGGAAAAATTAAGTTAATAAAATAAAACTGATTCTTTCCTTTAAGAGTTCTCAGAGACCTCAATATGTTAGTGAGTACTAGGAACCCCTACAAATAGTATATACTTCAAGCACTTTCCAAAATTTACTTTTACCATTTATCCTTTTTTCTTCCATGGGTCACCTATGAACATATCTGAATACAGTATATCTGTATTAATTGATGAGACTTCCCTCCCTTTTTAAACAAAAACAATTGGGGGGGTACCAGGGATTGAACTCAAGGGACCTTAACCACTAGCCACATCCTCAGCCTTTTTAATTTTTATTTTAAGACAGGATCTCACTAAGTTGATTACAGCCTTGCTAAGTTTCTGAGGCTGGCCTCAAACTTGTGAGCCTCCTGCCTCTGCCTCCCAAACTGTTAGGATTACAGGTTTGTGCCACCATGCCTGGCAAACAAAAATAATCAAAGAAAAATCTTTTTGACTATTTTAATTCCTTCTCTTATAATCCCCAATCTTCCCATATTTATATTAAAATACTTCATTCTAGTTACTTCTCTGTTTTTTGTGCACGTAAAATAACATCATTGGGTACAAGGTTGGGTTCAATCCCCACCACAGAAGAAAAATAAAAAATACAAAATAACACCACTGGGAAATATTTTTTGCGCAGTTGAATTTCTCCCTGTCCGTTCTGCTTTCTGTTTTCAGTAAAGAAGAAATCAGCGAGGAATGAAGATAAGCTAGGTGAAGGCCAAAATTTCAAATATTTTTTCTTCCCTATAGGGCAATGGTGAAAAGCAAATGCACACCTACAATGAGACATAAGCAGAAAAACTACTGTCTTGAATCTAGTGTTTCCACACAGAGATCCAGCCCCACTTGACTGCTCCTTTACTTCCTTCTAGTTTACCTAAAGAATTAGTTATGGGGGCTCAGTGGTAGAGCACTTACCTAGTATGCGTGAGGTACTGGGTTTGATCCCCAGCATCACATTAAAAAAACTAAATAAATAAAATAAAGGTACTGTTTCCATCTACAACTTAAAAAAAAAGAACTAGTTATAGGACTCTAGTGATCTGTGGGGAATTCAAACACACACATTTTATTTTATTCTATGTGCTTTTTGATTTTAGTTTTTCTATAATAAGCATCTACTTTTGCAATGAGAAAAAACATTAGAGTTCTAAAAGAATTAATTTCAAATCAATAAATCACAGAACAATGAATTAAATCCATCTATATTATTCTATCAAGATATGCACAAAAGAAGCCAGCTACACTGGTGCATGCCTGCTACTAGGGAAGCTGAGGCAGGAGGTTCATAAGTTTAAGACTAGCCTTGACAACTTAGTGAGATTTTATCTCAAAATAAAAAATAAAAAAGGCTGGGGATGTAGGTCAGTGGCAGAGTGCCCGTGAATTCAATTCTCAGTTCCAAAAAGAGAAGGAAAGAAGAAAAAAAAAGATGCACAAAGTATCAATGACTCTCAATTAAGATGAGCAACTCTCTGCAAGAACACTGTCTAAAATAGGTTATGTGAAAATCAATTATAAGATGAAAAGTTAATTCCTTCAATAAGACATTATATTCTAAAATTTTTATGAATGTAAAACTAAACTTTGGTTTTCAATTTAAAGAGACAGGCTGGTGAAATTGAATGAACACAGCAAACTTGGGTCTGAGCTCTCTTCTGATGGCCCTAATTGCTTCAATCTTCTAATCTGTAAAATGGGGAAAACCCTATATCATACTTGGTTACCGTGACTATCTAAGATACATGGTTATAGGGACTATCTAAGAAACCTATTTAAAAAGCTCACAGCAACAGTGCTGGCATATTATATAGTAAGTGCTCAATAAATTGCTACCATGAAAACAGTTACATAGGAAATATTCTAAGTGCTTCCACAGAAATGGATGACATATTGTTACTACTATATTATATTAATCACTAAGTCAACATTTATCTTGATGAGATAAAAAGAATGCTTCTCATATAGATAATTCTTAAGAATCCATGATATAACCTAGGTGAATGATTCCAAATCAAATATATTATCTTTCAAAGTTATCAAGCAAAAAGTACTAAGGATTCAATCATAGTCACTTATTTAAATAAGTTCAAGTTTTACAATTGTTACTATCATTATTTAAGAAAAAAATAAAGGAAACTTTATTTTTGAACTAAAGGAAAAAGACATGCATCTCCACAAATAAATGGCAATGCTGAAAGTAAATATAACCAGAGAATTTTGTTCAAAATTATATGATTTCACTAGAGGTACAATGTAGCAAGGAATAATTTCTAAAAGAAAAACAAATCTAGAATCCCCCCTTTTTTTGTTTACCTGGATGAGTCATGGTGACTGGCTCCTCTTTGGATTTATTATTGTAGATGACTACAGCAACTGCATTGTGGAAAGCAGCCCGTGATATTTTCTCTTTAAATGTGCAATTTCCCCTTTGTAGCAAGGCAATCCACTGCTTGATATTAGGAGGAACAAAGAACCTTGTTTGAGGATCACAGCCCAGATGATCAGCAACTAGGCAAAAGGAAAAAAATACACATACACATTAAAGATAAACTGTTCAACTGTTCTTTGAATAGGATATATATCTACAGTACTTCAGGCAGTTCTCTTCCAGCAGAGCTATTACTATATCCACGAAAGACAATGCAATGAATCTGAATCGATGTCTGAAGTGGGAGAGAGATTTTCCATTAAAATGTTACCTGTACTGCAAATAAAAACAATGGGAACTTCTTAACATTACATATTAACAAAAACAAAAAAGACTGGCAATATCTAGGGTTGACTGGAAAGGAAGAAGAAAGGGAAAACACAAAAGAAAACCCCAGAAACCCAGTTGACACTCGAAACCTGACTTTCTGTCCATTAACTTGCACTTACTAGTTTCTCCAAACACACCACCATCACTACCACTACCACCACCACTGGGAGGAAACAGGAGAGTAATTGTGTTTGGGGTAAATGGAATAGCCAAAGTCATCTTCCATTTAATTATAAAGCAGTCTCGTTGAAATCCAAACATGTCTGAACATACTTCTTAATAAATGTCAAAGCAAATTAGGGAAGTTCAGTTTGGGCCTATATTGAGAAATTTAAGTAACTAAAATGACATGCAAGTAGAATAAATATACTACTCCTCTAATTTGTATTTATTGGTAAAAATTACTCCACAAGTTCACATTAAATAACATATACTGTATCCACCTATCTAACAGGACATACAAACAACAAGACCATTCCTTGGGGTTCTCATTACAAGGTCATGTGCCTAGATTTTTGAAGCCGTTTGTTTCAACTATCCCGAAGTGCATTAGTTTGTCAGACAAAACTCTTCGATTTTTTATTTCACACATATGGCCATTATAGCTCTAGTGAACTCTGCAAATCTTATAAAGATGCCCATGACTGCTCTTCCCATCTCCCATCCTCATATTTAGAACAGGTTAAAATTAAAACGAAGGGCAGTTCAGAAGGAGAAAAAAGCCACCAAAGGTAAGGCTGTAGAAAGCCAAGTGATATGTAGTGACAGAGACCTATGCTTCCTGGAATCAGTCACTGCCAATCCTGTGTGTACTGAGCAGGAAGGGAGGAAGAGCGGAAACACAGCATACTGACACAAAAGGTGAAAATCAGAAGCAAACAAATTATTAAAAATATCAAGCATCAATTAATAATAAAGTATAATTATAGTACATAAAAAAATGACACCAGTGGGGAAATGTTTACTTCCCATACAACTGAAAGCACACTGCTTGGCAAAACAAACTAAGTGTTTAAAGTACTTATCTGTAAAATGTAGACATGTCACTAACTCTAGAGAAAAATCACATCCATCATTTCCACTTAAACATCTTTCCCCAAATTTTCTTATAATTATCATGAATAGGGACAGCACTGAGAGCACATCTACTACCAAAAGTCTCTGAATTCACAGTAAATGGGAGATGAACATTTTCAAAATGTGTGGTGATTGATACTGTCACAACGCCTGCACTCCAGAACATTAACCCTTTCTTATTCAAATTAAACGGGGGAATGCTAGGGATACAGCTGAGTGGTAGAGCACTTGCCTAGTATGTGCAAAGACCCCAGCACTGGGGGTGGGGGTGGGTGGAAAGACAGTTATTACATTTCGAATTCAAAATTATAAAACAGATTGTTTACTTCTACCAATTATCTATCTCACAAATAATTATGCTGTTTTAAAATACAAGCATTTAGGTCATGTGTTATGGCAACCCTGCGGTCCTGAAAATGCCCAATACTGTATCCAAATACAGAACAATCAAAGAACTAATTTAAAATATTACTTTTGTTATTTTTCAAAACATACATACTGCTGAATAAACAGCAGAAAATGTAAAATAAGGAATATCTAAAGAGGTCTGTATGCTTGTCTTCTGTGAAACTCATTTGCTTTTCTGTGACTTATTCTTCCTCTCTGTGGTTTCACATGCATTTATAAAGTCACCACTTTAAAAGGAAAGTACATACTTAAGGAATCAGCAACACTTGATCCAAATTCTAGATCAACTAGCTCAACAACTGTGATAGATTACCTAAATTCTCTGATCTTTAATTTTTACTCATAAAGACTGAGATATCCATTTTTTTTTCTTTATTTTGGGGAGGGGACCAGGGATTAAACCCAGGGGTGCTTAATACCTGAACCACATCCCCAGCCTTTTTTATTTTTTTGAAACAGAGTCTCACTAAGTTGTTTAGGGCCTTGCTAAGTTGCTGAGACTGGCCTTGAACTTGCAATCCTCGTGCCTCAGCCTCCTAAACTGCTTGGATTACAGATGTATGCTACTGTGCCTAAGACTGAGATACTCTTATCTCACAGAGTTGTGCATTCCTTTAGTCTTGAGTGCTTTAAAAAGAAAAAGAGAAATCCCATTGGGTGTGATGGCAAGCCTATAATCCCAACTACTCAGGAGGCTGAGGCAGGAGGGTTACAAATTCAGGGCCAGCATGGGCAACTTAGCTATTTATCTCAGAACAAAATATTTTTAAAGGGTTGGGGGTGTAGTTTAGTGGTACAGTACTCATCTAGCATGTAGGTTGGTCTGGTTCAATCCCCAGTACCATAAAAAAATAAAATAAAATACATAAATAATAAAAGTAAATTCCCTTTCTTTTTTGTCACTGTCCATCCTGTGTTGGCTTCATGATCCAGTCTGGTGCCTTGGGGATTTTCTACACCAATGTATGTGAAATTTCCCCACAACTCCCTAGCAGCTTTGCATCTCATATCCCTCTGCCCCTAACAGGTACTGCCTCCAAGTCTCCTCTTCCCCTTTCCTTCTGATGGTATCACAGTCCATTGAGAAGAATAGCAGGCCAGTAATCCTCCTACTGTTTATTTGCTGACCACCTCCAGATTCTCAAACTGAAGACACAGCAAGAGGTACAACCACCAAGCAAAATACATCAAATTTACTGAAGAGAACTTTAAAATCTCCTAAATCCCCACCCACTAAGAACAGATTATATGAAAAACTGTACAATCAAAACAAATTCCAACAACAAACTCTATGAGCAAATGAATGTTCCCATTCCCCCAAATTCATCAAAATCATCATCCAGAAAAGGTTCTGAAAACATTTCTTTTTTAAAAAATATTTATTTATTTTTTACTTTTTATTCATTCATTTATTATTTATTTATTTTTGGATTATTTTTAATTCTTAATACACCATTATATAATAATTTATCATATCTCTGATTATATATAAGGTATATTGACACCAAATTCACATCTTCATACATGTATTTTATAAAATGATGAGGGTCTCCTTTCACCATCCATGCTATTCCCCTTCTTCCTCACATTCCCTCCCATCCCTATTCCCTATCTAGAGGTAATCTTCCTCCCTTGATCTCCCTCCCAACTCCATTTTGAGTCACACCCCCCCTTATATCAGAGAAGACATTCGGCATTTTTTGGGGGGGAGATTGGCTAACTTCACTTAGCATAATCTTCTCTAATGCCATCCATTTCCCTGCAAATGCCATGATCTTATTCTTTTTTAGTGCAGAGTAATATTCCATTGTGTATAAATGTCACATTTTTTTATATCCATTCATTCACTGAAGGACATCTAGGTTGGCTCCAGTTTAGCTATTGTAAGTTGTAACTATAAACATTGATGTGGCTGTGTCCCTATAGTATGCTGTTTTTAGTTTTGACCCAGCTATTCCTCTTCTCAGACTATACCCAAAGGACCTGAAAACATTTTTAATAGAAAAAATATAATAGGCAATAAGAAGCAAGAATAAACTATGCAAGCTCTTATTCCAGGAACTAATTATTATTCAGGAGAAGAAAATGAGGAGTTGTTATAACCATGTGATACTATACTACACTCATCTAATTATTCCTTCCTGTAATTAAAAACTAATATGAACAATGAAATATTAACAGCTCTAAAACAAGAGCCAAGAATATTGGTCACTGTGATTAGTGACATTACTTCAAAGTTTAATATCAGTTTATACTTGAGGCAATTAAGTGAAGGTATTAAAACTTAAAAGATATATGCAATTATGAACCATTAAAATTTGTCAGCAGCAATTCTGCTCAAATCAGACTCATTTTCCATTTTCTTTATAGTTCATAAGGGGATGTTACCTCTAACTTCTTTATAGTAGTTACAGGGCTGAGAAATGAAAATTTGGTGATACAAGATACCATATAACTAAAAATATTTTTATTTTTATTAAAAGATATTTTTATTTGTGGCCTTTCCTGTTGAAACCAAAATTAATAAGACTTTTATTTACTTGATAGGAACCAAACAATTATGGGCTCTTCAACTTAATGAATATTTTAACTTAGCAACATACTAAGTATCGAAGAGAAACATAATGGAACAAACACCTTGGATTTAAATCTTAGAGAATCCTAAAATTATGGGGGTGGCATGACTAGCACAGAAATAGCAACAAGACGGTAGAAAGTGCAAACAAGAAGAGTGTTTAGTATGTTCTCTTATGATTATATTACAGTTGTAACTCTACATCATGTATAACTAGAAGAATAAGAAGTTATAATCCACTTATGTATGATATGTCAATATGCATTCTACTGTCAACTAATTAGAAAAACAACAAAAAGGGGCTTAGAAATCTAGGAAATGAAGTTTATGGCATACCGGTAAAGGTTTAGTGGGAGTTGGAACTAAATGGAACCCTCGAAAATTATTCAGAAAGAATACCAGGCACTGAAATTACTAGTATAAAAACACAGAACAAAGATTAAGCCCTTGAACTCTTGTGAATATCAAATAGGATCATATGCAGAAGCTGCAACACTATACAAATTTACAGTGATCAAGATCTGAGAAAAAAGATCTCATCTGTAATGGAAAAAGGAGAAGAATATTCTGAAAGGAGAAAAATTTAAAAGGTTTTACATATGTATGAATGAATAAACAAAGTCTCTTTGTCTGAAACTCAGATTTAATAAAACCTCATCACTTAGAAATGCAAATATCCCACAGAAGCAG